TACGAGAAACTTAGTTGTACCCATTTCATATTCAACGTGTTCAAGCGCTTACTCTGGAGGATTTTCCACTAAGTCGAGGTTTTTGCGAATGGTTGCTTCAGGAACATGCAAAAAATCCTCAATTTACCACTCACCACTAGAAATACGTCGCGGTGACTTTCAGCAACAGTTTTCAGTTACCATGTGGGCCGGTATCGTTAATGACACTTTAATAGGACCTTTTGAACTGCCTAGACGCTGAGACGGTACTTCATATCTAGATTTTTTTGCAAATGTTTGGCAAAATATGTGTTTACTGCATGACGGAGCCCCCGCTCACTTGTTTCGGAGAGTGCCTTTCTTCTAAACACCCCTTTAGAGTTCGTTTCGTGAGGATATGTGAAAAGTGTTGTGTATTCCACGGAAATGCGTGACATCGACCAACTGCGACATCGCATTGCCAAAGCAACGTGGTAATCTTGCAACGCGTGCGAGCGAATTGGATACGTCGCGCTGAAGCTTGTGTGCAAGCAAATGGTGGGTACATCGAACATCTGCAGTTCTCAAAAAGTGGCTCCTTGCAATGTTGAGGTAGGTCAGATTTTAAAATTACATTTTAATCGACACAAATCCGTGTATTTACCTCATTTTGACATAACGGACATGTGGCAAAAATATTTGACTTAAGTTCATTAACACCCTGTATATTTTTAATAAATGAACATTTCTATTTCGTGTCGGATTTTTCTGTACGTTCACATCCGTAGACAGAACTCTGTGTGTATGCCCCGCTTAATTAAAAATCGTTAGAAGCCTTACAAAGGTTAACAAGGCCCAAGAAAACAGTATTTTCCTACAACGATTTTGTGTTAAAATTCCAGCAAATTTATTATTACTTTTTTAAATTTCACATTTTTCATCAAGTTTTTGATAAATTGATCGGTGTAATTAAATATTATTTGGCAGGTTTAATTGCTTGCAGTTGTACAAAATATACTTTTCATTTACATCCAAGCCCTACTTCGTTTATTACTCAAATTACGTGGGTAAATTTTAACTTGTTTTTAGGAATGTGCCAATATCAAATCCCTCAAAACCGCCCTTTCAGACGGCACGATAATTTATTCGAAACGGTAGTTAAATTGAATCGAATTGAGGGTCTATCGTCTGAGAAAATGGAAAATAAAATGTCTCTAGCAAAACTTTAAACTAACAAACCTATTTAAAACAGAACCGAATTGAATTTTAACGAAAAGTGAAAAATTTTTCGAAACATTAGCTGTAATTGTACCCTGGTGTAAGAAACTCGACAAGTTCTTCATAACCGTTTAGGACCTTGAATCTGTTAATTTGGCTTTGATGAAACTCTGTGTCGCTGGACAGATACCACGTTGAGGAACCGAACGGTGACAGCTTCCCTTTCGGGAGCAACGTCCCGGTGCAAGGCGAGCCAGGGCTGCCCTCAGGGAGGCGTGCCGTCTCCCTTATTATGCGGATTAGTAGTGCACATTGCAGGGTCTCAGTGGCTATGCGGACGACTTAGTCGTTCTCGTAGTCGGGAAACATAACGTCCTGGTTTCAAAGCTCATGAAAGAGGCTCTGAAATGGATAAATGATTGGCGTAAGGGGCAAGCACTGTCAGTAAACTCGGATGAGACGGTTGTAGTACCCTTCACCAAGAGACGAAGTTTGACTGAGTTCTCTGAACTAGGGGAGACGTGTATTCGGCTTTCCAGGGAGGTTAAATATGTAGATGTGTACGTTGAGAAAATACACAACCGATCAGAGCGAGGGAAAAAACTGAATAAAATCCGTAAATTGGCTATTACTGAATGAGCCCTTTCGATTCTATTTAACTGCTGTTCCCAATAAAAAAACGCAAATAAAGGAGCCGTGACCGGTTTTCTAAAGTTTCTAGGCAGTAATGGACCTTTTAACCCTTTTGGGTTTTAGAATGTCGATGGATTTTTTTCGAAGTTATGGCAGAATATTAAATTAATATTAAAAAAAGGGGGTTTCCTTAATACCAAATTTTTATCAGCCTCATTTCTTGCTCATAGTTCCTTTCAGATGCCCTGTATTTCTTGTTTCTGTATCACTTTGAGAAAGAGTTCAAAATGCACAATTCCATTAACTTTCTCCCGTTATGATCCTTTGAATGAATGTTTCATCGTCATTGGATTGTCCGCACGATTTTCTTTTTGTTGTTCGGCCATCAAACAAGGAACAAATTTTGCTGCAACTCGATGCATGTTCAATTTTTCAGTCAAAATTACATGGCATGACCCAATTGAGATGCTAACCTCTTCTGCAGTTTCTCTGACAGTCAATCGGCGATTTGCACGCACCAGATTTTGACTTTCTGAACGTAGGAGTCATCAGTTGAAGTCGAAGATCATCTTCAGCAGACTGACTACCATTTTTAAATCATGAAAACCGTCCATAACATCGCGTACGTCTCAGAGCGTCTTCTCCGTAAGCTTGTTTCAAAAGATGAAACGTTTCCGTGAAAGTTTTCTTAAAGTAAGTACTTAAAATTTTAAGTTCCAGAAAATCGCACATTTCAAAAATCGTCACTAACACAAGCACGTTGCACTCAAATAACAATATCACGAAAACTAAATGAGATATTAACAATCCAAGAACATGTGGTTATAGAGGAGGTTATGCGCAACGCAATGCTGCCAACCGCATATCAGCAAATATCTCCATTACCGCGTAATTAAAAAATATCGGTTATTTTCTGAACAGACCTCGTATACACGGTGTTCCACCTAAGAGGGATTTTTCTGTAACTCTATAACTGTAAAATTTACAAAAAATGGTTTTAATAAAAGTTGTTTGGAATCATGAGGCCATGTAAAGAAAAATATTTTTAGGTTTACAGATTGTTCCATTTCGCTTGGGCCCTACGTAACTTTGTTATTTTAAATGGAACAGCCTGTATATTATTGCGTTTTTGAATTTCTTGGTTAATATCAGGTATAGTTTATTAAATGTACCTGGTGTTTACAACTTACCGTTTTCGAGATAATCAGTTGTTTTTGAAAAAAATCACGATTTCAGCTCTCTAAATGAGGCTAGATAGCGTCTAAACCGTAAGTTATAAACCTGCAGTTTTCATAATTCGTTTTGGCATAAATTACTCTATCTTGTCATCTGTGAGCAAAACGTGTACGTTATTCGGACTCGAAAATACTGAGACCTACATTTAATAGTCTTACGAGTTGAAAAACTTTGTGTTTTCAAACGGAATGACACATATTAATTGTCATGGGTGAATGCAAAATTGAATGCCCTTTCGACTGATATAAGGTTGTCCATACTTATCTCTAACAGTTTTCCAGAAAAATCAGGTTCTTTTCTAAAGTCCGAAAAAGTAGCTATGTAACAGCGTCAAGAAGGCCTTGCAATTGTATTAGTTCAACGTCGATACATAGTATTTTACAAAAGCACAACACAGCACATCTTTAACGCATCCAATTACACCAAGAGTTACTAAAAGTAGGCTTTCAGCGGAGACTGGAGTTTTGTCAGTGGGCATTTGAGATGTTAAATCAAGATGATGTTTTTTTTGAACGGGTCATGTTCTCCGATGAGGCTACTTTTCATAAAAATGGTTTCGTTAATAGTCATAATTGCCATTATTATAACACAGTAAATCCTCATCAATTCTTGAACGTGTGGGGAGCAATTTTGGGAACCCATGTCATTGGATCATTTTTTTTTTTGACCAGCATCTAACTGGAACAGTTTATTTAAACTTTTTAACAAACACTATAAAAAATTTGTTAGGCGACATTCCTTTAGCTACACTTCGAAGAATGTGGATGCAACATGATGGTGCTCCACCTCACAATACCGCTGCGGTTCGTCAGTTTTTACACGAAAATTTTCCCAAAAGGTGCATTGGGCGCGGCGGACCAGTGAGTAGGCCTTCAAGGTGTCCAGATATGACAAGTTACGACTTCTTTTTATGGGGATTTATAAAAACTAAAGTTTACGTTACACCACCAACTACCGCGGAAGATATTCGCGAATTACAGTAGCATTTCAAGAAATTACGCCTGACATACTGACCGATGTTGAACATTCTTTTAAAAACCGAATTCGTTTGTGTATTAATCAAAATGGAGGACACTTCGAGCAATTGATGTAAATCAGCGGTCTAAGTATTCTTCTCTTTGTTGTGTTCCGAGTTTCAGTTTGTTTCGTTTTGCGTTGTGTTTTAGTTGTTGTTAATAATAATAATAATAATAATAATAATAATAATAATAATAATAAGTTAGTGGTTTACTTTTGTTTGTCAAACCACTTTTTAAACATGTCAGTAAATATTGACACTTCAGTCCCAGGCCTGATAAAATGTGAGGGAAAAGTGGTTTTGCAAGGATTTCTTGACGCTGTTACATAGCTACTTTTTCGGACTTTACAAAAGAGCCTGATTTTTCTGGAAAACTGTTAAAGATAAGTATGGACAACCTTATATCAGTCGAAAGGGCATTCAATTTTGCATTCAGACATGACAATTAATATGGGCCATTCCATTTAAAAAAAAAAAAAGTTTTTCAACTCGTAATATTATTAAATGTAGGTCCCAGTATTTCCGAGTCTGAATAACGTACACGTTTTGCTCACATACACGAGATTCAGTAATTTATGCCAAAACGAACTGTGAAAACAACTGAATACCTCTAAAACGGTAAGTTTTATACATCATGTACATTTAACAAACTCTACCTAAAATTAACCAAGGAATTCAAAAATGCAATAATATACAGGGTGTTCCATTTAAAATAACAAAGTTATGTAGCGCCCACGCGAAACACCCTGTAAAGCTAAAAAATATTTTCTTTATTAAAACCATTTTTTTTTTATAAATTTTACAGTTGCCGAGTGACAGAAGAATCCCTCTTCGCTGGAACACCCTGTATAATAATTCAAAAAATCCAATTACGTGTTACATGTATCCGTAGAGCCTAATTGTAAGTAAGCGATATTTACCATCTTACTCCTCTTACCTTGAAATGAAACGTTAAGCAGGTACTTTTTGTAGAAGTCTCCCCCGTCGTACTGGGTCATTGCGGGACAAATCCCCGGTTGGGTGTAGTTTTTGCATAAGTCTTCGTAGAGGTTGTGCAGGGCGAAAGCAAAGGCGTAAACGGCGTCGACTACAAATTGCACTTTGCTCTCTTGTTCGTATCTGAAACAGATATGATTGTCACTTTTACGTACCATCAAAAGCCGTTTTAAAAAAATTGGGTTGCTTCGGATTTGAAAGATCAGCGATTATTTTGTGTACAATTTAATTTAAATGAATAATTTTATGAGGTACAGTTCAGAGAATGTACATATTTTGATTTCGACGCTATTGTCCTGGGTCGGTTTGCGTCAAAAGGTGTACCATAATAGGAGAATTTAATATGCCTCTGTTTCTGCGCTACAAAGTCTTTAATATGAAGAATTATAATCTTGTGTAGGTAATTCAGTTCTATCAAAGGATTCTGGTGCGACCTAGTTGTTGGGTAAGCAAGATCAAGGCCAATCCTTCTTCTCTAATTATCCTGCAACTTCAGGGCAATGGAAATTTGTTACTGAATTACATCTCATTTAAGGAAGGGTGTATTTTTGAATACGTAGTAAAAAGTAATTAACCCTTCGACTAACCGAATAAATTTAATTACTTCATTTCAAACTTTGAGTAGGTATGTGATACATGACGGACTTTTTTATCAGTATATTAAAACGAGGCGTAATTCATTTAATGCTATTTTTTTCAGTACTCCAAAGATCAAGTTTAAAGCTGACCTAAAGCTGACTAAAGCTAAACTATATTCGAAAAATGCTTCGTTCAAGATTGGTTTAAAAAGATCAAATTATTAATTCTTGTCAAACGGCTAAAGATATTTCAATGAAATTTTGTAGACGTTAACTACCATCGAGAGAGCATGTTTTGCAATGAAAAATATTATTTTTAGTTTTGCCAGTGGCGTCCGTACTAGCACGTTACTGGATATTTCTAAAGAAAAAATTGGTACGCCACTGCTTTTACATAAAATAAAAATTAGCTGTGGATTCTTCGTTCAATTTGGAAGAAAGAAGCTCTCTTTCGATTTTTCTGTACGACTCAGCGTTTTCGAGTAAAAAAATAAAAAACCCTTTTAACACATGCAATGTAAATGTAAGTTCTAAAAGGTGGTGTATAATAAAATATTTGAAAAGTGAATAAGTAGTAATCATCCCAGGATGCATTTTCAGAAAATTGGCTCAGCATAAGCAACATCTTGAAATTCAGACGAGTAATTTCTGTCTAATTTCGACTGTCGAATCCAAACATCCAATCCAATTGGGTTTCGGCAAAACATTTTTGTACGGCATTTCTAAAGTATATAGGTTATACAAAAAAAAATGAACCTCGACCTAATGCCATACAAAAATAGCAATACCGGAAGCCAGGAAAATTTTTTATTTTCTGAAAATTTTGGCCCAGGTTTTGGTGATTTACTACATTGTTAGCGATGGACCCAACAAACCCTACATGACTATGCTCGACAGGGAACGTTCTATCCAAATATGTAAAAATATACAGGGTGTTCCATTTAACTTAACAAAGTTAACATCCGCGGCCCTTTTGTTTGGACTTCATTTGTTTTTCTACTAACATTTTCGAAAAATTCATAAAAACTCGTGCAACTTTTAAATTTCACATTTTTTTATAACTCTTAAAACAAAAAAGTTAAAGGGGGGGTCAAAATATAGTGAATCACCCTGTACAAATTCGAATAAAAAAACAAATAAATCATTTTTGAAAATTTACAATATTTTGAAAATTCCTTTTTATAAACTAAAAATGTTATATTCAAAATATTATGGCTGTAATTGACTTTCAAGTAAAAAAAAATAGAAAAAAAAACAATGTCGTACATTTTTAACTAGTGGATTTTACATAGCTGATAATATTTTTCATTAAGTTTTTACTACATGTTGAGGTCATTAATAACTATACGGCATTTACAAATTTTCATTAGAAATATATGTAACATAAAGAATGATAATTGCAATGACGTACATATTCGTTGGAACAATTCTCCGAAACTGTATAAGTCCAAAATGAGTTTTATCCTAGTTTCAAGAGAAATTTAATTTAATACTTATTTGCAAAAATATATTTCAAGCCATTTAGAACAATTTTTTTTGTACATTTTGTTTTTGTTGATTATTGTTGTCAAAAATTTTTTTCATCGTGCAATCCTACTTTTCAGAGGGAAATTAATTTTCCTATAGTAAGCACATGTTTCATGAGAAATGTACGGCATGGCCAAAAAAATTTCATTATTTTATAAAATAGAATTAAAATTAGTGAATTTGATGTTGGTTCAAATCAACCCTCATACGCTACTTACAAACACAGGGTTGCACCCTGTATTCTTAACCCCTGTATCACAAAGTACGTACGGCGTCGCTTAAATTAATAAATTTATCTGTATTTCGATCCGAAACTTGCAGTATAAATACTGTAATAAATCACCAAAACCCGCGCCATAATTTTCGGAAAATTAAAAATTTTCCTGGCTTCCGGTATTGCTATTTTTGTACGGCATTAGGTCGGGTTCATTTTTTTTTTGTATAACCTATATACTTTAGAAATGCCGTACAAAAATGTTTTGCCGAAAACCAGCCCCCTTGGTGGACAGGTTTAGCTTACCTGTGTACTCACTTGTACCAACAATAATTGACGGCATATTTTCTAAAGTTATTGTTATATGTGGTGGTATTGATTTATAAGTAATTCATGACTCCTTGAATATTTCCGATGGGTTTGTAGTCTATACACATCCTATAAAACTTATAACTTATTGAAAAGAATTGTAATCTGCTTTCCACTTCATAAAATTTCGATACGGTTGTTTTTATTTATCACATATACAATAGAAAATAAAAATAAATGTTATATCTGTCTATCGAAATACTTCTGAAGCCACAACTTCGATAGCTGAAAGAATAAAAACTATTTATAGCTTTAAATAAATTTTGATGTCCTATTACATATTTCTTCACAGTGTACTTTCTTTTTCAGTTACATTCCTGACTGGACTGGGATGCAACGAGTGGAGGTAAGAAGCTTTGTATTATTATTAGATATTAAAGATTAGACAACAATGTTATCCGATTAGAAAATGTTTTGTTTTCTGATGAGTCCAAAACTAAGTTTTTTTAGTTTGCTTTAGCGAATTTCGCCAAGCAGATGAATTATTTTTTTACTGCTAATTTCTGCATGAAATATGAATGATCATAGCATTTTCGAATTGAGAATGAAAAGACTTTCCAAATGAGGTATTACAAGCCCCTACTTTCCAATTAAAACTTTAGGACCTGGACAAAGCTCCAGGTGGACGCAATACTAAATCGCCGCGTCTTAGTCCTTATAGCCGATTGCTTTTCGACTACCTCGTACAGACTTTATTGTACATTTTAATTAGATAATATCAGTTGATGATTGGTGGGATTAAATGTGTGCCGTTCGGAATATATTTGATACGAAATAGACCGAGATATGTTTGTAGAAGCGTTGCCAAATTTGCATTTTCTTGTGACGCCGCATCCACCGCTATTAAATTTCCCCCGCAATTCATCAAAACTGCTTACTAAATATTCACAAATAGAGAAGCTGCCGTGAAAGCTAAGGGGTTACTGCGCATTAAATTAATATATTTTGTACATTAATTAAAGATTCAATTGCTCGATCATTGAAATGCAGAAGAGGAAATATAAAATATAAAAGAGCTGCGTAATTAATGACCCCAGTGCGGCGAAAAACTTCGTCATTGTTTTAAATTAAAAACATATATTATTTAAGCTGTGTTTGTAATTTATTTATTTAAATATTTAAATCCACGTAGGATTAACAAACAAAATATTTCGACAACAGGGATTAAAACATTGTTCAATGCGTTAATTTAAATTTCATAAAAAATATATAACAAAGTTTTTTAACGGATTATTGAATCGAAAATTCGTTGACGGTGAATATAATTAAATCTGAGTCGTATAAAAAAATAATTCTACGCGTTTGTAACCATTAATTTCAATCAGTCCCATTATTAATGCATTCGGAAGTTCCCATGCATTATAATAATTATTTTCGGCTAAAAGATCCAAATACATATTTGCAATTTAACATTTTTAATATTTTGTATCAGATATTTTCAGAGTGGAAAAAAATTGTGACTGATTCAGATAAAACTTCTAGCAGCAATTCGCAAATTTTGAAACTTCGGTATGGCTTCAAATAATAAAACTCCACACCTCATTATTTATTTTTATTAAATAAAAATGGAAAACTAATAAACACACTCGAATGTACAACCGTTGAATTTATAAGCTATACTACATAAAATATGTCAATTAGACTGGGCCAAAAAATCGACTATTTTTTTTTTTGAAAAATAAATCGAGATTTTCAGAATGACGAAAAAAAATACCGTGAGAGTTTGAGTCCTTAATATTAGTTTTAAGAGGTGTATCATCGCTAGTTTCGATTTTTTATTCCTGATCCCATTTTTGCGTCAAAACTGCCAAACCATCGAGGTAAAAAAATTTATCTACATATATTTTTTAGGGAAATTGAATGCCCTACAAAATAAGGCCCCATTGAAAATTTTCTCCATGTAATCAAACCTTTTTAACTTTGGAATTTTGTAAATAACGAACAAATTAATATCTGAAAAAGAACAATACAGATTTTCAAAAGAAATTTAATCCTCTACAAAAAGGTCTCTTAACATTTCTGCATAAATTTACTCCTTCAAAAGTTATCCACGATTGAAGTTGAAGTAAAAATAAAATTTTTGTTTTTTTCGTTTTGGACCCAATTTTTTTCACTTCATGGAAAGAATTGATATTATACATCATCGACAATTATTATTCTATCAATATAATCATCAAAAATATCTTAAATTAATCTAAAATAATATAAAACGCAAGAAAATTAAGCCGCTGATGATACGTACGAATTGAAATCTATTATACGATATGGAATCCAGTTCTGTATGAAAGTTTGTTTTTGGCGGGGATTCAATCCGTTTCTAGTAATAGTTTCGCATCGCACGTGCTTGATCATTGCTTACACATCATATAAAGTTACACACCTTGTAAAATAGGCCCATTCAGTAGATTGTTTTGCATATTCCAAAAGTTTACCCTTTAATTAGTTAATATGCCAAAAATCAATTTTTTGTTTCTAACGAGAAATGTGTGAAATAAATGAATGAAAACAAACCGCGGAAAAACGTTGAGCAACCATTGCCTGACGTCATAATACCGGTACGGGCGACTGGCAGAGCACTCCGCTCGCGCTCGCTCTCATCCCATTCTGTGTTAATACATACGGTGTGTGGTTCGCTTGGCAGTTTCGTTAATCATTGTTTTTATGTCTAAATGGGTCGAAACCGAGGATTGTACAAATAATGTTATTTCATTACCGAAATATGAAGTTTGTATGATGTTATCCACGGTTTCCCCAGCCACGGTATGCAACTCAAAACCACCTTCGTTTTTCTTTGGTTGCCCGTCTAGGGGGTTATAAACATTATTATTTAAACATTTAGAGCAGAATTTTCAAATTTATGCCGAAAAAAAACATTTCTACCCCATCTAGACGTTCCCGTCCACAAAAATTTCGAAATACGTGGCTAGAGGGACCTATAAGCAATTTATTTAAATAATAATATTTTAGAACCCCCTAAACGGGCAACCAAAGAAAAACGAGGGTGGTTCTGAGTTGCTTCAAATACTAGTCAAAGTACTACTGGCACATACACGTCGTCGCATACATCCACAAGTACCGAGTCCAGTACGTTGGGTACATTTGTAGAAAAATGGAACGCAAAAGAAAATGTAGAAAAGCGAACCATTTATATCATTGAGAAAAATCCGAAAATGTATTTAGGTATTCAAAGTCATTCTATGTTTATAATAATGTATCTATGTTGTGTGAAAAATGCATTTCAACAAGACTTGACGTATATCTCATATACACTTTCTATTTATACACTTAAAAATATAGGTATACAGGGTGATTCAGAACTTATGCAAAAAAAAAATTCTGGATGTACAGGGGACCCTTACAAATACAATTTTCTAAAGAAAAAATCAAAAAGGGCAGTTCGAAAATGATTTAAAAATACACTTCTGCACGGCACTGGAAACTGGTCCACTGTAAAACCTGACCTCGCACAATGCGACCGGCATGGCGGTGTGATAAAAACGGACAAAAACTTTCGCAAGGAAAGAAATATGTAAATAGAATTTTATCGCACCTATTTTATATCGGCAAATTCAACTGCTTGTGCCTTTATTAATTAATACAATTAATTTGTGTTTTTAAATAATAAAATCATTTGACATACCCGATTTTACAACAATTGTTCAAAATCCACCAACGTGTAAAGACATTTGGGCCCGTCTTACTCAGTTTCTACGAACTAACACAAATGTTGTCTTGCTTCACCATAACACAAATGCTTCACCGTAAATTAAAACGATATCCATCAACTCCGAGTTGCTATACACGCAAACCATTTTTGACACTAACTACCAATTTTTGACACTAACTACTAAACAAATATTGTAAACACCACAGATAACAGGTAAATACTGTTGCAACGACGATTGCAAAATACGATTTCAGTATTCGGAGTCGCTGAGGCCACGTGGCTCTCCACGCGCATTGCAAATGACGCTAGAGACTACAGTTGTCCAGCTATGTAGTCGTTGAATGTACTATAACTTCAATAATTTTTTTCTCGGAAACTATAAGGATTTTACAAAAATTTTTTTTACGATATTGACTCCATTTCTCATGCCGCATCTATTCCCAAATTTTTTTGGATAAGTTCTGAATCACCCTGTATAATATAGGTAAAAGTATAGCAAATATCTACACATCTCTCCGACCCGGTATCGTGACGTCATTACCTGTTCTCGCACAGTGTTGACCTTTTTAAGGGTCTTACAAATTCAGAATTAAATATATCACTTATTATTAATCCTATTGACCTAATTTTTTAAAGATATATTTAGGTGGTTAAATGCTATCAGAAAATGAAAGAACAAGTTTAAAATTATATATCACTGAATGGGCCTATTGCTTAGGGGAAAGTCAAAATTCTACTTCGTTCTCGGCGGGAATTTTACGAAGCGGATGCGCATGGAGAGAGTAAAAAAATAATAAATAACTACTCACCCGGCGCTCTGATGAGATAGTCTTAGATCGGGGGAACAGACATTGATCGTCTGGTTAGTCTCTAGCGGTATATTTTTTTCGAGCGTACATCCGAAGGTGTCTTCCCAGTATTGCTCGAACCACGGATTCCTCACGTTTCTCTCCGGCGTCAGCGACATCATGTACTCGTCGAACCCCGGTATGCTGTCAGATTGGAGTTCGACGGTAATCGCCCCCTCAGCCACGTCCTCCACTCCTTCCAGCAGCTTCTGCTGCTTACCCCAGCCGTCGCTGGCTACCCAGTAGAAGGTGTGACTGGCGTTCATCCTCTTAGCTGCCTGCAGAATACGCCTGCAAAATTACGTTCCATAAATATACCGCAAACAGGTAACGACAGTCATTGCATCTTTTGAAAAGGTAAAGGATATACAAATGACTCAAATGTTTACACAAGAACATTAAATTTCCTTTTTGAATTTGATATATCTGAATAATTATGCATTGAAACGATTGTTTGGTTTATTGATATTGAAAATAATAATTGTTTATGGTTATCGATACAACTGGTTTATGATAATACGCTTTTTATCGCAATGCATCATAAAATAAATAGAACCCAGCGCAAAAATAATTGCTTTTATTTAGCAATACAAACATAACCCTGACGAGCATTAAAACTACTGATGTCTACCAGTATCCTAGTGTAACATTTAGTGTAGAACGGTAGCAACATAAAATTATCTTTCTTATTATTTTGAGTTCACCCGAATTGTCTGTTTTATAATTTGTCCGCTTCATAACCCTTCCGTTCCATAACTTGTTCGTTTCGTAACTCGTTCGCTTAATTACTCGCCGGTCTTATAGCTCTGCGTTTCATAACTTCCCGTTTCATAACGTGTTCACTTAATAACATGTTCATTTCAAATCTTAATCACTTGTCAGTCTTATAACTCTCCGTTTCATAACTTCCCGTTTCATAACGTGTCCACTTCATAACTTGTTCATTTTGTAACTCTTTCGTTCCATAACTTGTTCGTTTCGTAATTCGTTGGCTTAATCACTTGCCGGTCTTATAAATATCCGTTTCATAACGTGTTCACTTCATAACTTGTTCATTTCATAACTCTTCCGTTCCATAACTTGTTCGTTTCGTAATTTGTTCGCTTCATTACTTGTCGGTTTTATAACTCTGTTTCATTACGTGTCCACTTCATAACTTGTTTATTTCATAACTGGTTCATTTCATAACTGATCCATTTCAGAACTGTTCCGTTCCATAACTGGTTCGTTTCGTAACTCATCCTCTTAACCATTTGCCAGTCGTATAACTCTCCGTTTCATAACGTGTCCTCTTCATAACTTGTTCATTTCACAACTTGTTCATTTCATAACCTGTTAATTTCATAACTCTTTCGTTCCATAACTTGTTCGTTTCATAACTTGTTCATTTCATAACTCTTCCTTTCCATAACTTGTTCGTTTCGTAATTTGTTCGCTTCATTACTTGTCGGTTTTATAACTCTGTTTCATTACGTATCCACTTCATAACTTGTTTATTTCATAACTGGTTCATTTCATAACTGATCCATTTCAGAACTGTTCCGTTCCATAACTGGTTCGTTTCGTAACTCATCCTCTTAAACATTTGCCAGTCGTATAACTCTCCGTTTCATAACGTGTCCTCTTCATAACTTGTTCATTTCACAACTTGTTCATTTCATAACCTGTTAATTTCATAAGTCTTTCGTTCCATAACTTGTTCGTTTCATAACTTGTTCATTTCATAACTCTTCCTTTCCATAACTTGTTCGTTTCGTAATTTGTTCGCTTCATTATTTGCTGGTTTCATAACTCTCCGATTCATAGATTCCCGTTTTACAACGTGTCCACTTTGTAACTTGTTTATTTCATGACTCTTCTGTTCCATAATTTGTTCGTTTCGTAACCCGTTCTCTTAACCATATGTCAGTCTTATAACTCACCGTCATAACTTCCCGTTTCATAACGTGTCCACTTCATAACTTGTTCATTTCATAACTTGTTCATTTCATAACTCTTTCGTTCCATAACTTGTTCGTTTCATAACTCGTTCGCTTAATCACTTACCGGTCTTATAACTCTCCGTTTCATAACGTGTCCATTTCATAATTTGTTCATTTCATAACTTGTTCATTTCATAACTTGTCCATTTCATAACTGTTCCGTTCCACAACTTGTTCGTTTCATTACTCGTTCCCTTAACCACTTATCAGTTTTGTAAATCTCCATTTCATAATTTCTCGTTTCATAACTTGTCCACTTCATAACTTGTTTATTTCAAATCACTTGCCGGTCTTATAACTCTCCGTTTCATAACATGTCCACTTCATAACTTGTTCATTTCATAATTTGTCCGTTTCAAAACTTGTTTTTATCTTTCTTTTCGTAATTTATATTTTCATAATTTGTCCGTTTGTCCGTTTTATAACTTGTCCGTTTCATAACTTGTCCGTTTCATGACTTGTCGGTTTCATAACTTATTCATCTTATAACTTAGTTAATTTCATAGTATATTCGTTTTATAACTTATTTTTCTCATAATTTATTGCATTACTTTTGCGTTCTATAACTTGTTCGCTTACATAGTTCAATAGTTAATATATTCCCGTCACGTGTATATTTTAGATTTATTGCACATTGAAGATATTAATATTCAGAACAAAGTGAATTTTATTATTTGCCGGAGATATTGTTTACGCTTCAAGAGTTTCTTTTAATTACTTCAGTTAAAATTTTATATACAAATTCCATCAGGTATCTACAAAATGTGATATTTTCTTGTCAACTCTTGGCATTACATGGAGAGACGTATTCTTAAAGTTTTCAGTGGGATTGTTTCTAACTTTCTATCAATAAAACTTTTATAAATACAAAGCGACTTTTTTCTTTTTTAAATTAAAGTGTTATAAAAGTTTGATGGAAACTTGTTTGGGTTTTAATAAGCAATCCTGCTTATTATAAGTCGTAAGTTTGGATAGTTTTTGAAGTCAGATTATGCATTAGTTTATTCTTTATTTTTTAATAAAACTTCCATCTTCATTTGTTATATAAAAATTAGCCAGGCCGTATTTCTAAAGTTCCTGTAAGTTGTTTTTGGCAGCAGCTGCCTGACACCTACTTAAAAATAAATACTCTGTTCGGCGAGAGGCTTATTTCTATCGAAGCTCAAATAATCTGTGTGACTTATTTCACCACCTGGCAAGATCCTATTCCATATTTGACGGTGACAGCGTTAAGTGGCAGCTTGCAGTTTCCATTCTAGCTCCCCACTGACATCCTCCGTTTCCCTCTGAACATCCCATTTTTTTGTTTATTTTGATGTATATTAGGGTCTGGCGAGGCTTCACATTTAAATAAGCTTCGGACTTGCCTCATAGCGCTGTGTCAGAATAGATATATCAGGGGGATTTGTCTAGAGTATAAAGTTACAGAAAGAAAGAAAGAAGTAATGTACAGAGCGTCCCCCAAACATATTTCCAAGTTTCAACAATTCCTTGGGGTTTTACTTCGCTTTTAATCACAAACACACACACACAAATGAGGTGAGTTTGTTATAGAGGGCGTCCATACAGAATTGGATCTTGTAGAAAAGTAGGATATCAAGTTCAATGTCAAGGTCAACTTGAAAAAATTAAATGGAATTTTTTTCTGAATACCTCGACAGAAATGTTTCAAGCAAAATTTGTATGTAGGATTTGGATTAGTGATTTTAGATTTGACCTTTACCACAAGTTGCAAGGTCAAACTAAAGTAAACTTAATATCGAATGGAATACGCTATTTTTTATGCCGGCAACTGATACCAGCGCCAAATTTTATGTCGGAATCTGGGATCACATAATTTCTCTATGATATCCTTGAAGGTCGTTTGAAGGTCAATCTCATTTTAGCACATTGTTAGTAATTAAATTAAAAATCTCGGAATTTGGGATCACGGAATTTTTCTAGGTTGTTCTTGTCATTGGAAGGTCAAACTGATTTTTGATCAAATAAATAGTCGAGTTATAATTAGTTTTTAAAATGCACTTTAATACTTATTGTAATATTCATTCATGTATTACAATTACATGAATTGTAGGCAGCCTACAGTGCATGTGAAGGGAGATAGTGCAGGTCAACGGTTACGAAGCGAAGGGGGTCAGTTGCACATTTGGAGATAGTACATTTAATGTGAATTTGAATGTTTTTCATGTCTGGAAGCCAAAGAAAGGCTATTTATTTTTGTGTATTTCATTGATTACTGCTTGAGTTTTTTTGCTAGGTTACTTGTTAAGTACTATTTGTGTGGCGAACACTCATTCAACAAAAGTAACTTGCTGTGAATGATGTGGAATTGTGCATGCGCTGCGACTAAAAAATAAACTATTGATACGTGTTTCTAAAGGTCAAAGGAAGCCTGTGTATAAATATGACCCTCACTCAAAGTTACACCCTGTATAATAAGTTGTTAAGTCAAATCCAAGGTTACCGTCTAATTTGTCGTTCTAAATCATACAAATTTTGCTTGAAACAATTTTGCCGAGTTATTCGGAGAAAAGTTTGGCCTCCATCGATTGCTGGAATACTAAGTAAGTGGTTATATTTAGTATTTTCAAGTTGACCTTGACTTGACCTTGAAACTCAATGTCAAGGTCAAATCCAAGGTCACCAGCTTGTTGGTTTCTTGACATTCTCTGACTTTAATCTGAATAGGATAAAAGACTCAATCGTGGGGGTCCGGTTTGTCAGTTTATTAAAGAACCCAATACAAACCTTTTCTTTAGTTTGATCTTGAAATGACCTTGAATTGACTTGAAGGTGGTCTTTAGGGTTATGCTATCTCCAGATTCAGATTCTGCGAGCCTAAAAACCTGGTCAAAATTCAATACAAGTCTTTTCTTCAGTTTGACTTTGAATCGACTTTTACCTGACCTCCAGGTGACCTTAGAAAGCTAAGCTATCCCCGAATTCTTGTTCAGCGATCTCCCAAAAGCATTGTACCTACTGGTCAAAATTCATTACATGCCTCAGTTTTTGAATCCATCAACATGAAACTTCGTGAAGCTTACGTAGGCCTACAGCCAAAATCACATACTTCCCCCCTCTTTATCTCTGAAACTATTCATAGGATCACTTTGAACAACTTTTGATCAGAAAGTCAAAAACTATAACATACTGAAATTTCAGCAAAATCGACTGGGACACATTTTCCATTGAATTTGTGCGGGGTTCTTTATTGAACAATATTGACTTTTATATAGTGATAGTAAATAATAAATTAAAATTACATCAATGTTACTGAGCATGCATATTAAAGTTAAGTTCATGTAAGCG